GCTTTAGGTAAATAAAATATCTAATTACTTGATTTTTAGATTGATAAAAAATTTATAGTAAAATTCTTTACAATTTAATCTTTAGGTTTGAAATAGTTGCTTTATTTAAAATGAGTTAAGGAAAATCTTACCATTTAAATTAATATTCACATAGTAATGGATAATATAAATAAAAAAAATTAAAGTGACACTTTTAAGTTTTAATTGGTGCCAAAATATACTTAAATTCTTCATTATGTCAGATGCAAATAAACAATATTCAAGGATAAATAACCTGTAATGTAAGAAAATGATATAATTAATTATCTAAATAAAAATAAAACTAAGAAAAAAGCAATGTAAATATAAAATAAAAAAAATTAGTTGATAGGTTCTTTATACTAACTTACAAATAAGTGAAAGTTGATGATTGCATAATTGCAGAATAAATGAACTGATTAATAATAATAACCTATATTTGACACCAAAAAAATAGAAATTTATGAAATTTTTTTATCAATGACATTATCAATGACATTTGTGATTAAAATTATAGAAAATAATTAAAAATGAGTATTATGCTACAATATTGAGTTATATTATATTATAATATTAACATTTCATACTACAAAATTTTTTTAAATGATAACGCATAAATTGGAGTATTTTTTGTTAATAATCCATATACCAGGTGATTTCTAAGATTGATAAACTATTTAATTGTAAAAAATTTTCATGGAAGCGATAACGACACACGAAAAATTGTCTTAATGAATTAAATATGTGTACACTAAGGCTGCATTCAGATACATTATACCCTAGCTAGCATAATTTTTAATGAGCTAGAACTAAAGGTAGAGTATTTCCGAATGCTACCCTAGTGTATATTTTTCAACAATCACTAGCGCGAAATATGAATATTCTATTATGTATATATATATATGGGAATTTTTCATTGTTAACGCCCCCGCAACCTCCCTTGTGGGTGGAATTTCGTAAAATCCGTTCTTAGCTGACCTCTACTCGGCGAAAGGAATATTCCTAGCAAATTTCAAGTCGCTA